ACCAACATAGATGGGGACTAAAAAGTTGACCGATTCTTGATTAAAGCAACATTGCAATGCTGCGCCACGAGCCCACAAGTTTGCAATTAATTCTCTGAAAGGGCCCAAATCAGCAGGCACATGCACGTTTACTATGCTCTACTCACAAATTCGACACCTCAGGCATCAGGTCCTTTGTCACAATCCAATGCGTAAAATTGACATACGCACTATCAAGTCCTGCATTAAACTTTTGGTGATTTTGACCGGCCCAAAGGTTGCTGCCAAAGAGTGTGCAGAGAAAATCCAGAAGGCGAACAGGTTCCAGAAGATCCCGACAAGGAGTGGTGAAATGGCGGGCAATAAGGAGAAGTATGCGGGCACCAAGCTCACCCAAAGCACCTTTTTTGATGAGTTCTCGACTGCATAGGTCATTGCTCAGGGTATCCAGGACATGCGCCAAGCGATTCGTCTCCGAGGTGTTGTACAAGAGATCAATACTGCCCTGCACAAGGATGGGCTCCGATGGCGAGCTTGTGTGGGATATTTCATTGTTAGCTGAGAAGCCGGTGAGGAGTCTCATGTGATGCGTGACACTGTGATCAGTGAGTTGTACAGCTTCTGAGCCAGTCAGTACCAGATCAAGACAGATAAGCTGCGAGAGCACAGCAAAGACATGGTCCTTATTCATTGAATCGAAACTCACGCCATTTGTCAGCTTCAAGGAGGCAAAGCTGACCATCTCGTTGTGTTTTGCTTCTGGTAGCAGTGCACTCCACCTGGTTGAAACATGAGCATGTGTCTTTGAGCAATGAGAATCACGTACAAGGGCCGTCCACATTGGGCGAGATGCTCGATGGTTTGGAGATGACCCATGCTGACAGACACTGCTGCCTGATTCTTCGCAATCACTCGCTGGTCAAAGCTGAGCACGATATAGGGCGGCAGCAGTTGAGCCAATTCCAGCCTATGTCGTAAAGAATGCACTGCTTTCTCCATTAGCCATGTGTATCCAAGGGTGAAAAAGGAGGGCTGACGGTTGGACGGACGAGGAGCATTATGGGGAAAGCTCAATTTCGTTCCCATGAAGACATACCACAGTCTTATTGACGATTCTTGAATGGACAAGAGATGTAAGAAGACCCACAAACATGAACCCAACTTGTGGGCTTCATCAAAGTAGGTCACACTCAAAGCTCGAGTGTAGATAGTATTAAGAAAACCCATCAAGTTTGCAGTGGCTTTCTTGACGATGGTTTTGTAGAGCCCCTCAGCAATTACAGTGGGGTCGTGAGGTATTTCCGCCTTTGCTTTAAACTGTCAAATACTGAGCACATGAGAGTATGATGAAAAGGAATTGACTTGTGGAAATAGCTCAGCTGACCACTTCTGCAAAAAAATGTTCCCACTCGTCCTGCGCCCCCGGTGGCTCCATGACTTTGTGCCAATGTGTATGTAA